TGGATCACAAATATAAAGGTAGTTCATTTTGCTACTATTTTGTTATAATTTATTAAGTCTTGGGGACAAGTTTTCAAGCACCAATTAGAGTCCTCTGAATAAATCACTTGACGTAGGTTATTCCTATATGCTGGTATCTTGGGCTAAGAAAAACAGACCAGGCATCATGACCACCGATTACCAGGACTAAATGCCTGAACTTATTATTCTCACAGAAGAAAAATAAAAAATAAAATAAAATAAAATTAATTCGAGCATAATCTTCCAACTATTTTCATAAGTCGCGATTCTTTATTAGTCTATCCCATACAATTTGCACAATATTAGCTAACTGTGATTATCTTGATAACTGGACATTGAAGTGATAAAATTAACGCGTTTTTTTAACCTTCAGGAAAATAAAATCGGCTTTTATAAGTAAACAAACATATAACCTGAATATAACCAAGAAGACCAATTATCGATCAACATCTTATAGTTGTTTCGACTTTTGTCTACTTAATCGATGTAGTTTTTGCCTAAAGCGACGAATCCCCTTCTCTATGAGAACCTTCTATAGCCTGTAGTATGGATAAGATATTTCTATAACATACCGTTGCCGACTTCTCAAGGGCCTGCCTACAGTACAGCACAGGTGCAGCTGCAACCACATTAGTAGTGAATGCACCTGCAAAATAACTACAGTTGTTGTGAACTAATAAGTAGAACTCACTTTAGAAGGCTAATAATAGGATAACAACCATAAAACTTCATTCGTGTGGTCCCCAGCGATTTTCTTTGCGAGGAATTGGATTACAGCACACAACTTGTTTCAATCCCGACTATGATGGAGATTTCATCATTGAAAAGCGGCTTAATCACTCGCTCAAAGGAGGTATTCCAACTTTTAAATAAGGAAACCAACCTGCAGATGTGGCATCTACATCACAAGTGACGAGAGCAAGATCAGGCTTCTCTCCAACTGCACGCAACCCACCATACATCCCAGCAGCTTGGAAGCCCTTGGCAGCTGTAACTCCACCTGGAATCTAAAAATTGACGTCCACATAAGCATTGAACAAAGAAACACATGAAGACCTTCTACAAGAACCACACATTGGTAGCGTTATGGCTTAAATCTTAATAACATAAGAAGCAACATTCCTATGTAAATTTCAAATTACGGTTACAAGCATAACGGAAAATTTGATTTCATATTCCTAGTTTCAGATGTACCACAATCTTCCCAGAAATTAAGAAATTCTTAAGTGTATAACAAAAACATTTCATCAAAATGATATACAAAGTGCTTATTACCAGATGTAATGGTCTCAACTCTCAACAAAACAAAATCCCCAATACTTGATAAATAATCGAATCCTGATTCAAAGACAAGTATTCAACTGGTTTGCATCTCAAGAAAAGCATACCAAAACTTATGTGGAGTAGACAAACATGAAGCCTCCTTTTACCTCTTTGTTCTATAGCAAACCATAAATTACACACAAAATGCATACATCCAGTCTACCATCATAAACATACTTGAAACACAAACAAATGCTCATCCAACAATTCCATTTCAGCTCACACACCCACAACCACCCGATTGTGCACGAAAATCACGTATCTGTACGAAAAGATCATTCCTATCAAATTAAGAAAAAATATAACAAAGAAATGGCCTAATGACCTGATTCCATGGCCCTTCAGGCAGTAATATCGGAGCTGCCGGTATGTAATTCGAAACATCCTCGGTGACAGATAATGCCGCAAAAACTCTGCTGGACCTCATTCTCAAGCGACTACCCGAAAAGTATACCTACGCAATGCAAATTTTTTCTTCACGTGCTGTTCATTAGATAACAACAAACATTGCCTCTCGCAAAAAAGCGCAAAATCTTCCATTGCTAGCTAAATCTAACATCAACTTAACTAATCTAATGCATGAGCTTGTTGGTTCATACGGATTCGAGTGAAAAAATTAGATCATACCTTTGGCTTGTTGAGCTCGGAGAATTTGATGTAGACGTGATGAGCTGCTGCAGTAGACATTGTTGGCCTGGATTATTATGCTTTCAGAATGTAGAAGATGATGAAGAAACGAACTTAATTAGGGTTTCGAAAGTCTCACAGTAGGCAGTAGCTAAAAGGAAAATGCCGGGAATTGCTCGTCTCCCAAAAAAAAATTAAAAAATAAAATAAAATGGGAAATAAAATACATTTTTAAAGAAAATGTGATAAATTTGGGTTTTGGGAATATATATAAAATAAAACTATAATGATTAAAATGAACTGTAATAAAAATTAATAAAATATTAGTAAAAAGTTTGGTAATTGGAAATATTAGTATTCGGCCCTGTGCAATTGCACAGATGTAAATAAAATAATGTGAGTTATTTGTATGTATATAATGATTAATTATTTTTTCATCTTTTTGCTGGCCAAATTTACAATTAAGGGAGTTGGAATATTTATTTTTTTTAAATTGCGTTTATCTGATTTGATGTAATGTATCTGTTGGTACGTCTTTTTTTGTTCTTTATTTATTATTTATATAGAAATTTCAAATATGTTTTTAATTTTTTTTAAAAAAAAAAAGATAATTTAAATTTAAACACAATAATAACATCTACTCACATTATACGGTCAACAAATATGGTCAACTGTCAATAATCAAAAATTTAAAATGATTTTTGTAATTTTTAAGTGATTAGTGTTGATTATTTAATAATTAAATGAAATATTAAATACATCAAAAGTAACGATTTTTGGAGGGAAAATGGTTAACATAGGTAAAATTAAATAGGTTTTTTTAAATATTATTAACTAGTAATTATATATATATATATATATATATGTGAATGGATGAATAATATTTTTTATTAAAAAGTATAATAATAATTATCTTTTATTTTTTTAATTGTGTGATTTGGGAATTGTAGAAAAAAGTGAAATGAATAGTATTCTTTGTAAGAAAATTAATCATTTTTGTTTCAATGAAATAAATTTGGACTGAACAAACATTCATTTGTTTGGAATTTTAAATGACATTTTTTTTTTTTTTTTTTTGAGACTTGAGATTTCTTTAAGATACTCAAATTTAACAAGAAGTTTCAAAGATCTCAAAAAATACAAGTTAAATACACTAGGATTCTTAAAATTCAAAGTCTTTAAAAATTCTGAATAAACACACTCTTTTCATCCCTCCTACACTGAATTCTGATTTTAAATAATATATTATAAATCTGATTTTAAATAATATATTATAAATACAACTTAATATATTTTATTGTTACCAGATGCTAGTTATTTTAACTTTTATTTTACATATGCATACAAAGAACACAGTGAAAAATTTGACACAAATGTTAACCGATCCGCTCAACCCAATCATCACTCTTTCTAATAACAATAAATCAGACCCAAATGGCATAGAGTCACAGCAACTGGGTAAAATAAAGAGTACAAGGGTTTTCATCTTACAATGAAAAACATTTCTTAAACAGATTTTGCATAAACATATCGAAATGAGATATCAAAAACCACTAAACCCGACAGTTTTGTTCGTCGTGAATCCATTCTGGGCTGACTGTGTGTTCTGCCGGGGAGGCCCACGGGATTGGGCCTCCCTTGGCTTAGCCGGGTCCACAAAAATGACCCACCCGTCAAGATACTTTGCGTTCATCCCCTCGCGAGCCTTCTCGGCTTCCTCCACTGACTCGTATGTAACAAAACCAAAACCCTTTGATTTACCGGTGGCCCTATCGACTATCACTTTTGCTGTAGCGAACAAAAGAAAAAAAATGGCATCATTTTTCTTTTTTTTTTTTGTTTTACCGGGAACTGAATGGATGCAGAGGGGATTTCATTTACCTTCTAGAAGCCTTCCGAATGAAGCGAATGCATTGAAGAGGCTTTCATCACTCGTGACTCGTGAGAGACCTGACAAGATAAACAAATATCGATTTTTGGTATTATACATTTTTGCATACGAAATGCGATATATTTTTTCTTTTTTTTTTAGCTTCTTTCTTGTATATTATGTACGAGGCCTCGATTGTGGCAACAACATGATAATATGACCGATTGCATCTAAACAATTTCAGCATTGGATTACTAAGGAAAGCCAAAAGTTGGGTCATGCCCACCTAAACAAGCACTCACACAAAAGCTGATCCAAATGCGTAGTATATGAGCATAAATAATAGTTTGCAGTGAATAATAATAATAATAATAAATGATACTCAAAGCCACAACTTTTCGCCATAACATCCAAACTCTTGCATTGCTTTCTTGTCAAATTTCTACATTTTGTGAGCCCAGTAACATTTCTCTTTACTTAAACCAAAGCCTTATTTAGTAGCATTGCCCATGTCTAGCATCCACATGCTCAGTTGAATCATTTGCTTGTCTATTGATACCACACCAAATAACTGGTATAGAAACTGTGTTTTAAGATATTTAGGGCATCGAGCCCCAAATTTCTATTTAGATGCCATGATAATTGAGAACTAGAATCAAATTTGCGTTATACACTAAAATTGTACAATACATCTCTCAAGCTCCTAAAGGAAATAAATGAATGTGCGCGTCTCATATGACGTGGATGAAACGAATCAAATTTTATTCATTTCAAGCAGCACAACAAAAGCAAATAAAGGAATAAATATATATATATATATATAGTGTGTGTGTGTGTGTTACAGTTCTTTGCTATTATATGCCATTCTTCCCATCCACAGAACAAATCTTTCACACATAACACAAATTCTAGAGTGAGGTGGCCTAACTGTCTTGCCGGTTTTGTTTATCTCCGTAGCCTTGATGTACACATGAAGGACTCGTCTTCATCCTCATTACTCATTAGTAAATCATAATCATAATCATAATAGAATCCTCGAAAACAAATTTAGGATAATTAGTAATTCTTATTAGTTCAGGCAACGAACATTTCCCAGCATTTATCATGAAATCACCACATTTCATTTTCGATTCATTGTCTCATCTCACATGGCATCAAACGGACTACACGAACATTAATCCACCCCATTTTTCACACACAAAAAGCATCCCAACAAGTACAAAAAAATAAGAACACAGATATTTCAGCAAAAAAATAAAATAAAATCCACTTAAAATCACCGAATGAATATCAGTAAAGCATACCGCTAATGAAAAGCTTGGGCGAGGTGAGAGTCACGAGCGTGGAATTGAGGCGAAGCGAAGCGAACCGCGCTCGTGTTTTCAGCGACGGCGACGGCGACGGCGAGCCACTCAAAATCCGGCGAAACGCGGAGGCGAAAGCCATTTGTGATCGGAATTTTAGTGGATTTTTAAGAGAGTGAGATATTTTTGGGGTTTATTTGTGGCGAAATTACAAAGCCCTAGCAAAACCCCCTTTTGCTCAACGAATTATCTCAATAGGAACTGCAAATGCAACTTGATGTGTGCAGTGCAGCGCGTTAGAGAAATCGATGGGCTGTGTATTTGTAAATTTCTACAAAATTTGGGCTGGGCCGAGTTTAGTTGGGGCAGACAAGTTTTGGTCCAATTTTCCAAAAGTGGGTTCCTTCAATTTTTTTTCTTTTAAATTACACACTACTTTTAAATCTTATTTTTATTTTAAAATATAAATATACTGATTTTTAGAGTAATATAAATATACTGATTTTTAGTAATTATTATTACTGTAAAAATTAATATATTTATATTTTAAAATAAAATAGGACTAAACCAGCGACTTACCAATTAAAATAGGACTACACTAGGGGTCAACATTGAGCCCTTATTTGTTTGACTTGGTGATGGATGAGGCCACAAGGACATACAAGGTGATATCCCTTGGTGTATGCTCTTAGCTGATGATGTGGTGCTAGTTGACGAGAGTATGGCAGGGGTAAATAGGAAGTTAGAGCTGTGGAAGGACACGTTAGAGTCGAAAGGCTTCAGACTTAGTAGGACGAAGACCGAGTACATGACGTGCGCTTTCAGCATGGCTACTCATGATGATGGTGATGTTAGCCTTGACGGGCAAGTGGTGGCCAAGAAGGAGACTTTCCGATATTTAGGATCGATGCTACAAAAGGATGACGGCATTGACGAAGATGTTAGGCATAAAATTGCAGCCGGTTGGTTGAAATGGCGTCAAGCCTCGGGCGTTCTTTGTGATAAGAGGGTGTCACAAAGGCTAAAAGGTAAGTTCTATAGGACGGTGATTCGCCCGACGATGCTATACGATGCTGAATGTTGGCCTACAAAAAGGCAACATGTCCAACAACTAAGTGTAGCAGAGATGCGGATGTTGCGTTGGTTTTGCGGGCTCTCAAGAAGAGATAGAATCCGAAATGATGATATTCGAGATAGGGTAGGGATGGCTCCAATCGAGGAGAAATTGGTTCAACATCGACTGAGGTGGTTCGGACATGTCCAACGGAGGCCTCCTGATGCACCGGTGCGCAGGGGAGTTTTACAGCGGGCCGATGTTGTTAAGAGAGGTAGAGGTCGGCCTAAACTCACTTGGGAATAGTCGGTTCAGAGAAACCTTAAAAAATGGAATATCTCCAAGGATTTAGCGGTGGATAGGAGTGTTTGGAGGCTAGCGATCAACGTGCCGGAACCGTGACTTTTGCTCCTTTCTCGTTTGCTACAATCTCTCCATTTTGTTTTGTTTTTGAGCTTTTTTTTTTTACCACTGTTTCTATTGGGTTTCATCTCTAGCCTACCCCAACTTGTTTAGGACTAAAAGACTTTGTTGTTGTTGTTATTGTAATAATTACTTTTTAGTTTATTTTTGTGATTGAACTTTAAATTGCATCATTTGTTTGCTTTGTGACTACTTTATGAATGGTTTTATGTATGGTTCTGATTTGAATGTCGTATTTATGTAAATGTTCGAAAAACGTGTAGCAAACATGTAAGCTATGTTTGGTAAAATTAGCTGATAAGCTAGCTGATAGCTTATATGTAATTTTTGAGCTTATAGCTTATAGCTTATGACTTATAGCTGAAATCTAGCTTATATGATAAAAGGTGTTTGGTAAATTAGCTGATAAGCTAGCTGAAATAAAAAAATTCAACTAGCTTATTTGAAAAGTTACCTAAAGTAGCTTATGAAATAAGCTCGAGCTTTTTAAAAAAACTCGTCCTACCAAACGATACTTATTTTAAACAGGGAGCTTATAAGCTAACCAAATAAAGCTAGCTTATTTGGCTTACCAAACATACCCGTAGTGTTGTAACCATTGGGTGCACACATGATTTGGGAAATATAAACACGATTATAATACCATGATTTGGACAAAAACGATTCAACCATTGTGTGCCCATATCAAAGTTAGAACCATCAAAACACTTATACATGTGATGTTGCACGACATTATGTTAATCCAACTCTTCGTGTCGAGTATTTTTCTCCCACAATTAGAAGCACTAAGGGTGTGTTTGTTTGTCAATTCATACTCAATATCTAATTTAATTTTAACTCAACTATGTTATCGTCATTATTAATATAATTAAATAATACCAAACAATCATTCATATATATTAGTTAACCTCACAATCCATTTACTCACATAATATTAGTTAACCATCGCTTTGCCTCATATCTTTTCTACTTTTACATCAGGTCAACTTTAATTATTTTATTTTAAATATTATTTTAATATAACCTCACAATCCCACTGACAAATAACATATCAACTTTTTTCAAAATTAACTCTGGTTAACCAAAAAGACAACGAGCGCAACTTGAGTGGTAAGACGTTTCACCTTTGATCGATAGGTCATGGTTCGAGTCACCGAGGAGGGGAAGTGAGAACACTATTTATCTTCCCAACAAAAAAAAGAAAAAAAAAACTCAATTTGAGCGGATATATTTGCATAAAAGCACGCCCTGATTACATCGTATTGAGAAGATAAATAAAGGTAAGAAATCAATAATTTTATTCCATAATGCATCAACTACAATTGTTTCACAACTTAAAAAAAAAAAACATGAAATCTTGCGCCACCCTGCGTGCCATAACCACCGCTTCATCCAAGCGGTGTTGGTGTCGACACTGGAGCCACCCGTCTTCTTCTTTGCCACGAGACCATGCTTGGGATGCGCCTTGTGTCGCGGTGAGGTCCTCGCCGACGAGGAGGAGGGTGGGATGTTGTCACCTCTCGGTTAACCGCTTCATCCATGGAGTTGTCGGCATAGGCGTTTAAGTCGTCACCCATTTCGTGTTTGTGATTCTCGACCAACCCTTTTGGATCCGTCAACGACAGAGTTTGGGTCTCTTGTTTCTCCCCAAGGTTGGTGGTCGGATATCGCGATTGTGCGGTTAATGTTGACGGTCCTCTTGTCTAGTCGTTGTCAGCTACTTAGATGCTTTCGATCCTCAACGTCTTTTTATCTCCTGAATGAAGGATGTGGGACGCCATAAGCTCATATATGAGTTGAAACTCGTCTCCTCGCCATATTTTACTAGGCGCTTGAGTTAGTTTGCAGTTTTTTT